CGCAGCTCCTGTTCTTGCTCCTGTTCCTGCTCCTGCTCCAACTCCAATTCCCGCTTCCGTATGCCCTTCCTGATGCGCACGATGCGAGTCCGGCCACAGTGGCAAAAACGAGGTCATTAATTATTTCTTCAAAAGCAAAAGATAAGCCGGACCAGGCGACCGAACGACCGAGCAGCGACCCAGCCGGCAAATTAACCCCCTGGATTCGCATCCTTTTTGGCGTTTTGTGTCATTAGCTTAAAAACCGAAACCAAAAAGGACTCAGGACAATGGTCAGCATAGCCTTGGCCCCGGCCAACATACACACACACACACACACACACACACACACACACACACACACACACACACAATACACGCGTGTCCTAGGCAACTGTTGTTTTGTGAAACCAGCGGCATCAGCGTCGGCCGCATGTGCCACAAAGATTAATTAATCTTTAAGGACTCATTTGTGTCCCTGTTTTTGCTGCCGCCAGCTTCACTCATTAGGCATTTAGGCATTTAGACATTTGCATGTGCAGGCGACACCAACATGAATTTATGGCCAAGGACTCGCCCCTTGACACGCACCTCAACCCTCAGTCTCCGAAGCTGATTCCCGTTCTCAGCTCAGTTACTGGCATCTAATAATAGTTCAACATTCTAGTAGTAAAACCGACATTTTGTTTGAAAATATGGCGAGATATAGATCACAAAATTTAAGTTTCAATCGCGGTTATTTTATATTCTAATCGAACTGAGAGCACGTTGAACGTAGCCTTGCTCATGTTAGTTACTTTCTTTTCACCCTCGGCTGCTCATGTTCTCATGGATTTGTCAAGCTTTCACTTAATGGAAGTTCTCAGTCCAAATCATGGAACGCCGTTAGGCATTTATTTTGATTATCAATTGACATTCATTTCTATTTGTTGGCTTCGTACCGTAAGCCACATCATCATCAGCCTTATCTTCATCATCCTTATCATTATCAGAGCTATGGTTTTGTCGGGATTTCCGTGACCCCGTAAATGACCAGCAAAGCTTATGCCATATATAAAACTAAGCCAGAGTAAAGATGTTGCTACATTTCTGTGGCATGCCACTTTAGAAGCCAACCGAATGCCACCATGACAACAGTGTTATGCCTTAAATAATTTCAGCTGACTTTCCCGCCTGTCTCTTCCATAACAAGCGACTCTCCTACCAATGAAAAAAAACTTTTGTGTCCTTTGTTTCATCAGTAAAATATTTATGGCTGATTATTTGCACAGGTTAATGTCGCATTCAACGTGCATGTGTGTGTGCATGTGAGTGTGTGTGACATCAAGTTGAGCACAAAAGTTATTCGTGTTATCCTTTGATGCCTGCACAGTGTTTTCCTCTAATTTATTAGCTGGCAAACGTGAATTATTGTCGTCTACAGTTTTCAACTCTTTGACATTGATTGGCAACTGGGAATTGTTATTGCTGGTGGGTAAAACACCAAAATTCTTACGAACTGAAAGTCTTTTCGTTGAATTGGAATGTCTTCATACATATATTCTTATTAGCCCTTTGAATGATTGAAATATTTTACTCATTTACCAAATTCATATGTCTCTTCAAAGGATACGAATTAGCAATATTGTCTTATAGTAGAAATGGTTGATTTATTAATATTATGTTCTAAGTAGTTTTCAGTTGACAATTTTTTTGATACTGTTTATTGTTCTATTTCAATTCTTCTTATACCAATATATATATTGACAAATACTAAGCAATTCACTACGATTCAATGGTGTCAAACAAGAATCTTAGTCGGAGCCATGTGTTTACCGATTGAAATTCACAATCGGAACCTAAGCTAAACGTTTTTTTTTTTAAGAACCAGTTACTGGAACTGACATTATTAGTTCCGAGAAGAAATTGTCGGAACTAAAATATCATAGCTGAGCGTCAACGCGACCGATCCTGTTTTGCTGTGGACTGGAAGTTTGTGTACACAACTTACTTTTGTCGTTTTTTTCTTTTCCGACTCTTCCTTTTTTCAAACGTCTGCAGTCTATCGTAACATATTGGTGACGTACAGTAGAAATCAAGGTAGCAATTCGTAATCGAATACCATAAAAAAGTTGGAGCAAATACAGGACTCATTACAACAATCGGAATCAGAACCGATATTCGTTTTGGTTTGACAATATCTTGATTTCAAACATGTTTTCGGGGTTAATCTAGTCACAAATTATAATTTTGTTTTTTATTTTTATGTAAAATATACTCGTATATTTATACTTATATTTATTTTCTCTACTCTACGCAGATCTCAGTAGTTGGCTCTCAAAATTTCAAACAATTTTCCTCTCTTTTAACATCTGGATTTCATTATATATATTTTATATATATATATATATAAAAGCAAGACATTTACAAGACGGAGGAATAAACAATTCGATAACTTGTGAGGTGAGTACATTGAAGTCAAACGATCATGTTGAAAAATTGGGGAAATCATGTTTGGTGATGGTCGCCTTCTCAGCCGGCCTCTTATTCTTTCGTTGTTATTGGGGGGGCTTTTTATGGCAAAAGTTTGGGCATAAAATACGAAAAGCTTAAGGATAATGAAGCGTGAGGTGGCTGGTAACTAAGACACTGAGGCACGAAAAGGAGTTGCATCGTTAAAATGATAAACGATGTGTGTGTGGGTGTATGCATGGCGTAGATGTTAACGCCTCAACACACACACGCTCACATACGCACACACAAACATACCAAAAATCGTAAGTTGTTGCGACAGATGTTGTCATAAATAAAAAGGTGGCAAACGGAAGCGGCAGCGGCAGCGGCAGCTGAAGACGCAGGCAAGCAACATGTAAATAAACACACACGCACGCTGATTTATGCATATGCGTGTGCGGGGAGGAAGGAGGAAGGAGGAAGGAGGGGAGTGGTAGGCGTAGTCTGTTCAGGCCACATTAATGTCAAATCAGCCGCATAAATAGCATAAAACGCTCAATTTATTAAACGAAGCATACTCTCTTTTTAGCGGGGAGGGACATGTGTCCACGGGGCGTATTCGCGACAAGTGTATTCAGTTAGTTATAAATGTCGCAATCCTGTAGGGCCAACGTCAATGCCAATGCCATTGCCAAATGCTCGTGCCATTGTGTATGAATTGGCTCATTGCATATTTAAGCGAGCGCCACAATCGACGCCTTTCATGTGGCGCAGGCGAATCCTTTTTTGCGCAGGATTTGAACTCGTTTATTATGCGCATCGAGTGGCAATTGTTCACAATTCTAAAATACCAACAACAACAACCACAGGCCCAGTGCCAAACAGACAATTGGCAATGGCTTGGGATGTCGTCATCAATCGATGGTTGGGCGCTTTTGCGAGAAAGAGGAGAGAGGGAGAGAGAGAGAGAGAGAGAGAAAGAGGGACAGCAGGCAAAAGCAATCAAAGCAGTGTTATATATATATCTCCCAGCCGAGAAAGACTTATAAAAATTGTAAAACGTTTTGTGTGTGTGTTTGTTTGAAGCGTTGAGTCGACTAAGCAAATACTCAATACGAGTGTGCTTAGGGTGGACATCGGATGGCCGATTAACCTTAATGTCAAATTCTTTAACCTTAGACTTGATATAAGCTAAATGAAATAGGTAATTGATATGAGCAAAAATATTATGTTTTTGTAAATATCTTTGGATCGTTCAATAGATTTCTATAATGTCTCTTCCTATATGTATATATACATGCTTGTTTATGTTATATATACGAGTATATATTTATTTTCTAGTTTTATTAAATATGGTTTAATGCAGTTTAATATCCAGTGCGTGCGTCCCCTTCTATTTCGTAAACTTATACAAATATCGAAATTGTTATGTATATCGGTCGAGATGAAGAAGATTCATTGTTTTACAGAGTATTTCACATTCAGATGTACCACTTATAAAGATGGTTTTGCTTGTTTCGGCCATTGTTTTGCAATTGCGCTGAAGTCGCGACGTGCTGAACTCCATAGCTACATGTGTGTGAGTTTGTGTATGTATAGATATATATGCGAGTGTAGGTGTCAAGGGTATTGTCCTTACCAGAGCAATCCTTCCATCCTGCCATTCTGCCATCCTCCAATCTTGCTATCCAGCTTTTCTGCCATTCGCCGTCTCACGAACATGAGCGCTCGTTAAACGGATGAGTTAAAAGTCAAAAGCCCTAAAGGATTTTATTTGAATTGCGGTCTGTGCCAGCGTTCGACGTTTGGTCCCGCGCCCCCACCCGCACCGTTGCCCCACACCATTCAATCCCCAGACCAGCGACCTTGTTGTGTGCCATGTTTTATTTAAAGTTTATCTACGCTGCCTTTTTTCCACTTCCTCAACCACTTGCCGCTAATTTCGCGCCAAGGCTGCGGCAAAAAATATGCGCAGCATAAAATGTGGAAAAATATTTTGGCGCAAGACAAAAAACCACAGCAACATTCACACATAACAAAAGGGTTTTTTTGTATCTTTTGGCTCTTGCTGTATTCGTCGGCACGTCGCATTTCAAAGCCGTGTTGAAAAATATTTGAAATAATTGCAAAAAATGTTGTCGGCCCTTTGGATGAGAGATTTTCGTGCGTAGCGCCAGCGTCTTCTAAAGCACCATAAAAATGCCGGCTTTGGTATACGGTTGAGGGAGCTGGTGTCCTTCAATATGCCAGGCACGTTTGGTGCAGTTGAAAGCTTTTTAAACTGGAACAGACACGATTTACATTACACAAAACCAAGACATTTATGAGCAGGCTAGTAATACGAGTTCCACCTATTGCTGGTTCTACCGACCCTTTTGGCATAATTTCAACAATCTTGGGAGTTTTAGAGATTCTGGCTTTAAATGTAAAATGTTGGTAAATAATATATGTACATATCAGCCTATACATTTTTTAGAGACTTGCAAATTTGAAGTTCACGACTTTGGACTACCTGCATTTACAGATACGGATCGGCGTCCTTAACTTTTCATTCAATATAGGTTCTCATTCAGACGCAAATATACAGTATGGCTGACGAGTCTAGAGCCTTATCCACAAACTCGGCATATTACAACTTTAGTAAGTTTTCAAAAATAATCCATATAAATCACTTCTAATGAGTACCCATTGTCTGCAATAGCAAATGAGCAGCTGGAGACGACGACTGGTCGGTTGTCGCCGTATGCTGCTGTCTTCCAACCCAATGGCTCATATGGCACCCAGGTGCTGGATTTGGAAGAAGTGACACAAGTCGTTCCGCAATGTCAGGCATCAGCACCACGTCCAATGGATCCCAATCTCGAGAATAATAATGAGCGAGAGTCTGTGTCGGAGCAGTCCAGATACAACGGATCACACCGCGTGCAGACGCACATGCATCCCATGTGGCCCATCCTTGGTAATTTGATCGGTAGCGAAGGGATGGAACCCACTTGGCACGAGCAACCGCCCTGCACGGAAGTGGCAGTGCAGCCTCGAAACCAAGTGCCAAGCGTAGCAGCCCGAGAATGTGGCCAAAATGTGGAACAGGAGTGCGTTATTGAGCAAGCTCCAGAGACATTGTCATATCTTGAATTTATGCCTGATGGGCAGCACCAGATGACATCGATTCAATACCAAGTAGAACCAGATCTGCAACAGGAATCGGTACCAGGACCGGTAGTGGTACTGGTACCCAATGATTATTGGAGCGACATGGAACGACAAGGTGCTGCACCTCAGCCACAGCTGGTATTGCCCGCCCGAGAGTATTGGCAAGACGTGGTACAGCAGCGCCCACATCAACAGCTGCCATTGCAGCAGCAGGAGCAGCTACAGCAACAACAGCAACAACAACAGCAACAACAACAGCAACAACAACATCAACAACAACAGCAAGAACAACAGCAACAACAACTGCAACAACAAGAGCAACAGCAAGAGCAACACCAACATCAACAACAACAGCAACAACAACAGCAACAACAACTGCAACAACAACTGCAACAACAACTGCAACAACAAGAGCAACAACAACATCAACAACAACAGCAACAACAACAGCAACAACAACAGCAACAACAACAGCAACAACAACAGCAACAACAACAGCAACAACACCAACAATATCAACATCAACAACAACAGCACAAACAACAGCAACAACAACTGCAACAACAAGAGCAGCAGCAAGAGCAACAACAACATCAACAACAACAGCAACAACAACAGCAACAACAACTGCAACAACAAGAGCAACAGCAAGAGCAACAACAAGAGCAACAGCAAGAGCAACAACAACAGCGACAACAACAGCAACAACAACAGCAACAACAACAACAGCAAATGCAGCAAATGCAGCAGCAACAACTGCATCACCAGCAGCAACTGCAGCAGGACCACCCACGTCAACAGGAGCAACTGCAGCAGCAGGAGCAACAGAGACAACATCAAAAACAGCACGAACAACTGCATCAGCAGCAACAGCTGCATCAGCAGCAACTTCAGCGTCAAGAGCAACAACTGCTACAACTTCAGCAGCAGCACCAATGTCAACAGGAGCAATTGCGACAACAACAGCAAATACAACTGCATCAGCAACAACAACTGCATCAACAACAATTGCGGCACCAACAACTGCAGCAGCTTCATCAGGAGCAGATGCATCATCAACAAAATGAGCAGCAATTACAGCAGCAACGACTGCACCAGCAGCGGCAACTGCAGCAAGAGCACCCACGTCATCAGGAGCACCCACGTCATCAGGAGCAATTGACGCAGCAGGAGCAAGAGCAACAACAACATCAACAACAGCAGCAAAACCAACAACAATCACATCAGCAACAACAGCAACTACAGCAACAACTGCATCAGCAGCTGCAGCAGCTTTACCAGCTCAAAATGCATCACTATCATCAGCAGCAACTGCAGCAGCAGCAATTGCAGCAGCAGCAATTGCAGCAGCAGCAATTGCAGCAGCAGCAATTGCATCAGCAGCTACTGTATCAGCAGCAGCTGCATCAGCAGCACCTTCAGCACCAGCAATTGCACCAGTATTATCATCATCAGCAGCAGAAAGAACAGCAGAAAGAACAGCAGAAACAACAACAGGAGCAGGAACAGCAGCAGCAACAACAACAGCAAGCCCTTCGGCAGTCCGTACTGCTGGACCTTAACTTGGAACAGCAGGATGCTGTTGTTCACCCACAAAAACATACGGAAATCGAGCTGCAGGACATCGGCTTTGAAGCACAGATGGAGTCGACAACACAAGAAGATTGGTGTGAAAGAGAACAGCCTACCGATGCGATCACACGGCAACCTGATACCACACAGCCAACAGTAAACTGGCTTCCACTTAATGAATGGCCAGAATTAAGGCATACAATTAAACGGAAGCCACTGGCTAACACGATACCTTCACGCACAGAATGTTGCCCTGAAGTGCAGCAAAATAGTGATGTAGCTGCACCAACGAAATCCGGGAAATCTATACCCGACAAGCGGCCCAAATTGTGGCCAAAAAAGGCAGGAAACCCCAATATGACACAGCCAACAGAATGGCCAAAATTGAAGCAACGAGTTGCACAAAAGTCACCGGCTCCTACGGTACTGTCACACAATGATTGGTATAGACAATTTGAACAAAAAGCCAAAAGTTTACCACAGAGCGAATGTTTTCCAGAAGTGCAACCAACTATTATTGCAGTTGCACCACCGAATCCCGAAAAATGTATGCAAGTTTCAGCGTCTGTACATCAGGTGCAACCGACAACTGGGGGGGTGATGCATCATCAAAGCTGTCCAAGGATTGAACAGACGCCTTGTGTTTTATCACAACCGGAAATGCAGCGAGTGGTGCCACGTCCAGCCAAACGGTGTGCAAAGTCTGCTGAAGTTTCACCACTCCCGTCAGCACATACCGTACCAGCATACCATCAGTTAAGTCCGGACAACAAAGATGAAGTCTTGGCTTCTTCATTCGCGGAAACGAGAAAGCAGAAACAGGGAGCAGCGTCGCGGCGAGAATGGTGGCAGGCGGATGTCTTCATACCGCAGCAGAGACGGACGCCACGCAGTCCTTACCCTAGAGTCGACTGGACCCCGTATTCCTATGGTTCGATATCAACGCTGCCAGAAGCTACATCAAATATGACACCTTCAATGGATGATCGAAAAGAAGAGGTGCTGGACTTTGTCGCCCCAATAATGCCAACACCAATGAGTAGCTCCAACATGTCGTCAGAAGGTACTGAGGCAGAGTTTCCATCGTTTGAGGATTTTGTCAAACAAGTGGCCGATTGCGGCCTGTCAAGCTCGGAGTATCTTGGCACATTGAGGAATCTTTTGTTACGTGCCCATAATCTAATGCTGCCCTTGCTGTGCGGCCGTTTTGCCAAAATGAGCCAAGCCCAGATGGCTGCCTACACCACTGCCATTTTGGAAGTAACACCGCTGCATCCGAGTCTATTTTTGCCATCGGTGAGTAGTGTCAGCAATGAGAATTTCTTCATTTAATGACTCTCTCTTTCTCTTGTTCCGTCTCACACAGAATGTGTCGTCCAGCCATCCGCAGAGTCTGACTCCTCAGGATCTGGTGCGCATGCATGTGAGTGTGTACGGAGGTTCAGGTTTGTCGGCGTTACCTCCAAATCCACAGCCAGAACCCCCACCACCGCTTCTGATCGATGTCGGCACACAGACCGACTACGAATGCTGGTGCTTTTGCAGACCCATGGGTGAGTAATCTGTTATTATACACAACAAAATAATTCATTTTTTAAAGTGTTGTATACTCAGATGATAATATTGATTGTTTTGGCTTTTATTTTCAGGACCCAATCTTCCACAGTCAACGTATTTTTGTACCTCGAGTACCGCATCCTCGCAACCGTCGGAACAATCTGAACAATCTGAATGTTGGGAACAGTCGGCAGAATCGCTCGAGCAACATATACAATTGCAGCAGGATCGGCAAGAGCATCCGAGTAGCTTATCTTCTAGTCAAGAGTGGAGCTTTGCCACACAGCATACGGACGAGCAGATATACGGCAGCCAGCTTAGCTTGTTCAGCTCGTACCCCTACACAAATCACAGTTCCTGGGTCAACAGCTGCAGCAACAATAATAGCAACATTAATGAACAGAGTGACCTAAATCCGGATAGCGAATATGAACATGATCAAAACATCGATTACGAATCAATGTCTCAGTTCACACAAAACTGTGAGAACGGCAATGGTGACTCTCCGATAGGAATTCGGAAGAGAAGCACCTTTTTGACGCCGACTGGCCTGGTGATGCCCTCAATGCCCAATATATACTTTCCGCAAAGCAGCAGATCCCTTTTCATCTTTAATATGAATGATGACGACAATCCGAATACGCATTATGCAGAGCTGTTGCCCAACATTAATATTGGTTTGAATATGTTAAGTTTTCTAGAACGCAAACGGAAATCCTATCTCATGCGCAATGTCCGTACCAAGTCCACCGGTATGACGGGAAATGTCTCTCAGATGATGCCAGAAATGGATTCAACGAATTCAGATGTTTCACCACACTCGTCTTCCCACGCGAATCCAACCTATCTTTTTACGCCTAACAACTTGCATAAGAGTATGAACTCGAATGACAGCTCATTGGATGGTCATCAAATGATGACTCCCAATGTGGATATGACCAACAACAATCTAGATCATATAAATAGTTCTAGCATCAATGAAGCCAATATAAATAATGATCATTGCAAAGAGACTCACACAAATTATGATCTAACAGATAGTGAATGTGAATCAATCGACAAGCTCACATCTCCAGACGAAACTTAAGGAATTTAAATCAATAACTTGTATACACTCCTTAATAGTATTTCGCTTACACCATCAACACATGCCATTCAACTTCTATTATTATATAGAGGAAGACTTCTTCAAACATTTCGAACTCGGCTTACATAAGTATTTATTATATACAAACTGCGCTTATTAGTTATTTCTAGAAAAAGGAAGAACACATTGCATTAATCTTTGTCAATCAGCATCATTATTCAGCAGAAAGAAATGACGTACAGCAAAATAACTGTCTTTCCGTTTTTAAAAATATGTTTTTCAGCATAAGTTTACTCTCCACAATAAATCCATGTTGCTCACACCTCCACCCACATCCTCTTACACACACACACACACACATAAAATAAAAAAAAAAATATATAACACATAAAAAATTGTATCATATTTGATTCCACGGTTGGCCCAGAACTAGCCACCAGATAAAAGCGCATCATACGCATCAACCCCCAATTTCAGATCCCATATAATATCGTTTTTATATTTATATAACGATGAGTAAATTTCAAATCGGTGCATTAAGCTTACATTTTTAAGTTACATTTCACGCGAAACGAATCGAAACGAAAAGCGTAACAAAACTTGGCAATTTCTGGCTTTTGCCCAAGTGCCCAGAACTGTGCAACATGAAACTCAAGCTGCAAGGGTGAATGAATGGATCTGCGGAGTTGTGTGCGCAATTGTGAACCCTTTGAACTCGCAACGTGTGCGCTGCAATGTAAAGCTAAACGCCTTCAAGCTGAAATAATCGTGCTAATCTTTTACGCTGCTTGCATTTTAAAGCACTCACATTTTTTTTCTACTTGTGACTCCATTTGTTGGGGACGGGGAATGGGTTAGCCAGTTTACATTTTGCATGCATGCATGCATGCGCTTTCCCTCCTTCCACTATGCTTCCTTACAATTATAATTAAATGCGTCGCGCAAAACAAATAAAAATATTTGCAGGTAAACAATTTAAAAGCAAATAAAAATTGTATTTTAATCAGTTTGAAATCAGACGAAATATATTTAAATAGCTATAGTCAGGGGCATATAATTGGTTAATGTTGAACTGTTCTTTATTAAATTTAGATAATATATGAATTAATACTATTTTTTATTACAAATAACTTATTCATATTGATATAAAACAAATTTATTTTGTTAATTGTCTAATTTGAAATATTTTTTATTTGTTATATTTAAGTATGCATTACAATAATATTTAATGTTACTGTATGAATTTGTTATTGATTTGAAGAAATGTCATAAACACCAGAAATAATATACATATTTGTATGTATATTTATTCCCAAATCGTCGTATGGCAATCAAAAAGTGTTCTAAACTGTGTGTAAACTGTATTAAAAAAATACTTTTTTTTGAGTGCTCTCTTATTTACATACTACTTACTACTACTACATTCGGAAATATTCTTTTATTGAGGTCCATAGTTTAACCAGAAAATTAACGCCTGTATGAACAAACGTGAAACGCATTGAATGCAACCGCATTGCTGCATTTTTAATCTACAATTAACCGCAACTGTTTGGCCCTGCGGCGGGTGTGAGTGGTTTGTGGAGTTGTGGAGCACAAAGTCCCAGGTCCAATATCAATATTGATTCTATTAATTATAAAAACATTAAGTGCCAGCCAACAAATGTAATTAAACGCATTAAACAATTGCAATGTGCGAGTAATGGCGTTTAAATGCAATTCGGACAGCGATTCTGGTGTCCTGCTGCTGCTGCTACTGTTTCTGGTGGTTCGAGTTCAGGTTCGGGTCTCCGGGTTCAGGCCACGTTGCTGATGCGCGCCGATAAGCACGTTTTCAATTCGCATTTGCAGGTGGATTGCACTCGGCACAAAGGTGGATCAACGGGGTGTGCGTTCTAAGGGAAGGGGCACTTTTGGGGCTTCATTGCTGGATTTGTGGGCGGGTTGGAGGATTGTCGCACATTAATGACGAAATTATTGTTTCAATTGCTTTCAACCGTTGTCAATGCAAATTTTATGCAAATATTTTTCGGTGGCATCGGACTCTTAAATGCCATTATGGTCAATAAGTCAATAATTATTGCATGCATGTTGTTGTTGTTGTTGATGCTCGCTTCAACCACGTTTTGTTGTAGCTATTATTGACCAGAGTCGAAGCCCCCGCTGCGCACAATATGGCCAATTCCCCAAATAGGCGTTAATTACTTTTATCTGCGCATTGTCACACACTACAAAAACAGCAACAACAGCAACAATAATAACAACAACAGTACCAGCAACGACTGTCCATATTTGCTCGCTTTTGGTCAAATGTATTTATTAATTAGTATTTTTTTTGCAGTTTACTTTGCTTTTGCGCATAAATCATTTTCTCCGCAGTATTTAGAGATTTTTATTTAAATTTATTAGATAATATTTTTATAACAATAAGCGAATATGTAATAAATCAATAATGACTTGAAAATACCCTCTACTAATAATACTAAATCGAATGTAGATTTTAGAATTTTTTACTTAACAAACATACTGAATGTTATTTGTTAAAATCTACATTTTCCTTTTGTGACTGACTTTAGTGAAAATTGATACGGAGTTTTTGAAAATTCGATTCGCGGGAAAAGCTATATCAGTTTAAAGGGAAAACACTAAGTACCATACTGAAATTAAACATGCATTTTTGCTTATCTATGTATACATACATTCATCTATATACAAGGAATTGGATATACATGTAATTTTCTTAAACCACCAAAGCGTGAAAAGCTAATATGTGAAAATAATCTTGATTCATTTTGCAATGAATTAAGGGTTAATATCAATATGAAATCAGAAAATTTGTATTGTTAATAGGAACAAAATCAAAATACTAAAGATTCTGGATACTGTATAAAATAATCTCAAGTTCTACATTTATGTCTGCTTAATTTCAATATGGAGCATTAGAATCATTTATGATATGCTGAAAAGTAGGCAATGCTAATTTGAATGTAGTCAACCAACGCCAGCTGTTGTCCAGGAGAGCCACACAGACTGCTCAGGACTATCCTCAATAGCTGCTTCTGTTGCTGCTGCCCTCCCCTTCCAAATTAAGTGCTCGTCTCGTTCAGCTTTGGGGTCGTATAATATAATTAATGCTATGAATTACTTGAGCTCCGTACTAAGCCAAACTCAGCGGGCACACAAGCACCCAATCCAAGAGTTTGGCGTCAAATGGGGACAGCGAGGGTCAGCAGTGTGGATGCCTGTTATTGTTGTTGATTTTGCTGGGGATATTCCAACACGTTGCTGCTTGGTCGGACAGCCACATGCACTTAATTGCTTTATGAGGCGGTCAGTTACTTGTTATGGACTTCAGTTTGATTTTGCGTGCATGCCAAAGGAGCAAGCGGAGGAAGGTTTGTGGGTCGTATGTGAATGTGTGTGTGGGGCTAAATGAGACATTGGGGATCAATTATTTAGTCGGCGCATTGCCGCAAGCCAGAGACGGAAGGCCGTTGAACCGACCGCATCCTCTTCTCAACATTACCCGATCAATGCAGATTTAGCAGCTGATGCGAAAGTTTTTTAATCATGCTGATGGCATCATCAACATCATTATGTTCTGTTATGATGCTGATGAGTATGGCGATGATTAGGATGATGCAGGTGCGGATGCGGATGCGGATGTAAGAGTCACGTCGCAAGTGCGCCAATTTTTTATGCCAGTTTACTGCACTTTCTCAGCAAGGTGCGAAAATCAAAAAATAAGTAGGAATACAAAAACAATAGCACAAGTACAGATGTAAAGACACCATTTCGAGATACTCTGTTTGTTGTGTGGCCAGAGTAGGAATAAATCCTGTTGGTAGGATATTTTTAATATTTTCCTGAAAAAAATATGTAAGAATATGTTAGACAAATTACAAGAAAAAAAAAACTGTAGCCTATTTAAATGTAGTACAATACACCGAAAAAGACCAGAAATAAATTTCGAATAGTTCATTATTCTACTTATCTAATGCATCTCTTTCTGCTTTAACAACAGAGAACAGGGTAGACAAAGAAATGAAGCTAAACTCAAATCGAAAACTTCGCAGTCCCACAGCAAGTACAACTTTCAGTTGAAGTTCAAGCTGTAATGGCTTTTTGTTTGCAACACCACCACCAGCAACACCATCTGCCCACCTCACTTCTTCCCTCAGGGGGAGAAGAAAAGAAGGTGATACCATGACAATGTGTTTATATATATATATATATCTTCTTTTTTTTTTCATTTTTATTGGCCAAGACTGAAACTATTTTGTTGCCTTTATGTTTGGTATGTACTTGTAGGAATTGTGGAATGTTTCGTTCTGGTACATCAGGAGTGGGTGCTGTGCAATTGGAAGCACTTAACATCCATGGCAATAGATTGAAAGTGTGTTTTGTTATAGACTGACCAGTGTCCAGGACAACGTTAGAAGCATGATTATACGTATATTAAACATTTTTGCACATCATTTGATTTCATTTGAGGTAATCATGCGTTTTTAACTATCACTATGGTGCCCTGGCAATATAGAATACAATTCTTAAAGTGAGAAAAGTACCCCAAGGCAATTGCCATTCGTACATGTACATTTTTGGCATGCGTCTCAGACAATTATAAACTGTATGTGGTACATGATATTTCCATTTTGGCACTTAAGTCAGCCAAAGTCAATTATAATCAACTCCTGGCCGACTTACGCCGAAAAGCCCTGTCACTGAGAGGACTAAGACAATTGTCGAGCCATGTTGTGAGTCTCTCAACGCCAGCTGCCGTCACGCAAAAAGGATTAAAAAGCATTCACATGCTATATATCCTTATACATAGATAGAAACACACACACACACACACACACGCGCCCACACTCACACGCAGGTTTTTGTGTGTGCGTTAACTTATGCAAAAGTGTTTTAAGACTTTAGCTGATTGGCAACACACATTGGGTCCAAGCAGTTTGCCCTTTGTATAAAGTTGTCTGGGCTCATAGCAAGGTAAAAACACTTTTGCCGTTGGCAATTCGAAAAGTAAACTGGCTTAAAGTTGCGCCTCAAAATGTTGGCTTATGTGCAAAGTTTGCCTAGAATTGAAAACTTGTATTATAAATATTTATCATAGCATATCTGTTTAAATACAGGAAACCTCTTTGAAATTCTTGCGCTACAAGGGGAATCGCGACTGTTGCTAAGGATGAAAGCAAGTCTTTTCCAATATTTTACAATATTCTGCTTACACTCAGTAATAAACGATTGCTGACTTATTCCGCAAATTCCAAGTACAATTCATTCTGAATATTTCCCAAGATGGATAAATCATTCCTTATTTACAAATTGACTATTTATGCATGTTGCTGAAATTATAACTATAAAAAAAATAGTTA